GAGGTGAAAGCCCGGCTGGCGTGAGGGTGGAGGGCCGGTGGGGAGGCGAGGGGCTGCGTGGCAGTGGGGAAAAGAGCCGACGGCGGCGTTTTTGAGGCGCTGTCCCCTCTTCCCCCCGTGGCTGAGCAGGCACTTGGTCCTCTTCCCCCCCCCCGGCTGCTCTCCCCGAGCTCAGCTGACTCAGTTTCCCGGTCAGCCCGGCCGTGTGATTGCAACAGCTGATAACGGCGGTTTAAGGAAGCTTGAGCTCCCAGTGCTTTCTTGAGGTGGCCGTATAGCTGTGGTGCGTGTCCTGCTGTTGTTGGGAGCCTGGCAGGTTTGTCAGGCTTTGCTGGTGAGTCTTGTTTCGTGCTTTCGCTTCCTAAATGGCGGGCAGCGCAGGGAAGCTTTTTAAGGCCAGAAGTAAGATTATTGGGGTAATCTTAACTTAATCCCTGATACCCATGATTGGTTTTTGAGGAGATCGGGTCATCTAGGAAAGTACCTGCTGTTACTGAAGGATTGCTAGTGGAAAAATTCTGATGCGGATCTAAGTAAATTCACTGGTGAATTACCCTTCACCTGCAATCTTGAGTTCTCTTTCAAGGCTAATTCCGACTTCCAGCCATTGTTTCTTTTCTAGATCAGTGTGTACAAACCTGGAGAGCTGTGAAGGTTTTGCTCTGTGATACTCGTTACCTGTGGTCAGCTCATCTTCTTAATTAGTCGGTGCTAAACCGTTCCTCTGTATCAGTGACCCCCTTAACAGTTTTCACTCATTGGTGTCCAGGACCTGGATCATGAATCACGAAGATCAAAACCAGGTCTCTATTGAAATAGGCTAGAAACATACGTATCCAGAGATGTCGGTTCTTTTGGTCAATGGGGCTATAATTATTGAATTGTTCTTTCTTCTAAAAATACTAGTTAAGCATCAGCTTTATCTTGATGATCACTGCTGAGCGACTGAAATTAATGTTGACTATCTAGAGGGATCCTTGGCCAGCTGAACCCTGGATGCAAGTTACCTGGAGTTGCTCACGCAAACATTAAAGAACAGAATTGGAACAGAGTGCTGTGATGTGCCTCAGTCTCTACCTTAAAAATACCCGGGATATTTTTACTTAGGACAGAAGCCCCTTTTCAGCCAGACGTTTTTGCAGCTCTTTGCTTGCAGCAGTCTCTGTCGTTCTTGCTACGGAGCCCGGGGCCTGAAAGAGCGCCGTGGGAGGTATTCCTGCTCTCTTGCTCGTCAGAAGTCTTAGCATGCCCTAAACTATCACTTTATCACCTTCCCTGCAGATAACTTCCTCTTTGTAGTCTTTCTGTATTTATAGCTTCTCTTTTTTTCTCCCCTCCTTGCCTTCTGAACCAAGTTGCGTAAACTTTGCTCTCCCTTGGAGCGGGGTTTTCTGCATTTGGAATGCGTCGGTTTGGAGTTCCCATATGTTTGTCTTGGTACTGTTACTGTCCCATCCCTGACAGCTCTCTCGTGGTGGCTGCTGCTGTGCTCCTTGTCAAGCTTCATTCAGAGCTTGAAGGCTGTTCCAAGTTCACTGCCAATCTCATTCCTCCTCCACTTGGCTTTCTGTGCCCCTGTCTAGTGTGCTCTTGTAGAAGGATTTTCCTTCAAAGGAACGTTGCTCTTGATCACTTATATAGGTCTGTGATCAGACCATTTCTTTCCTCTGTCCCTTTAGTTCTGATTTTCCCACTTCAGTACCTGTTTTCTATGCTCCACAGAGTTTTAACGTGTGTTCTTTCTCTCCCGGGTGCTTGTCTGCACTAAATCCAGGCAGTGGTGAGCTTATTAGCAGCCAAAATAAGTACTTAGGCATAAAATACTCATACATTCTTCTCCACCGTTTCTGTTTTGTCTTTGCTGTTGCCTCTTGCGTGTGAGTCTGGCTCTGCAGTTAGTCCCAGTCCTGGAGCAAATCATCACCTTGTCCGCAGAGAAATCCTGAAGGACCAAGGCTGTTCTGGGGCTGGCCCTGGGAATTGGGTATCTGGCTGGTCACTGGCATTGACATCGCCTGGAGGATGTTGCGCTTCCAGGTCTGAAATGCTGCTCTCTCTTGTGTGCTTGGATTGGTCCGGATGCACAGAGGAATTCAATTCTCTGGTTCAGGACTTGTGTTGACAGCTTAGTGCTGCCGGGAGGAGGAGATCATGCTTTTCTGCATGATCCTCTGTGGTCTCTGCTTGTCTGATCACAAAGTAAGCCAATTCCAGCTCTTGCTTCCTGATGAGTTGGAAAGAGGGAGCTAAATAGGCTGTCTGTGATCAGGCAGGCTCCTGAGCGGGCTTTAAGAAGGGGCAGGAAAACATGACCAGGATTGAGGGAAGAGCACGAGAGCTGTTTTGGCTTAGGCTCTCTCTTGAAACCTGTGGCAATAATATGTTTAATCCCTTCTTTCAGCTCCAAAAGTCCTGGTGCTTTGGCTGTTTCTCAGCCAGAGGTCTGTGTGGGCTGTACACCTGTGCTGGATATCGCTTGGAACCTGCTTGGCCCTCTCTGTTGTAGCCAATTCCTGCTTCTGACACAAGGTGTCAGTGAAGGACTTGGAGCTGCTTTCCTCTGCTTCAGTGGTGTGAGCATGGATCTGTTCTTGAGTGGAATCTGTCTTGGATAACCACGCTTATGAGTCACCCAGATTTCTACTGTCAAAAGGATGGTGAGCCATCTCCAGCTCCTAAAAGCCGTGGTAGCCTGTTAGAGGTCTGGTATCATCTCTGGAGAATAAAAAGCTGTTGATGCAGTTGGACAGTGGCGCTGCTTTTAAGAAGCAGAGTTCAGCCTGGGACTGGAATGTAGGTTATCGGCAGGCTTTACTGTTGATCTGCAATGCTCCGTACTGCAAAAAGTATATGGAGCCTGGGAAGTGTACAAAAGAGTCGTCTTTAGAAACAGGAATTTCTTTATCTTTGAGTCAGCGTTCACGAGCCTCCTTTTGCTAATATGGCTCTTGCTTCCACAGGAACAGTGTAGGAAACCGATTTCTTTCTCACCTGCCAATGTAATAAAGGTGAACTGCTATGGTGAAATCCAGCAGCAGGACGTGTCACCTTCTGTCTGGGTAATGAGGCTGAGAAATAGCCAGCTGAGAAGTGGCAGGTAGTTGGCTCAAGCTTCTTAGTGTGGGCTGCTGTTGGGAGACGCTTTCCAGAGGCTGCGTGTTTCCACCACCTCTCTGTGGGTGCTAGTGCTTCTGTCCATGCAGTTGGCTCAGCTGGGGACTTGCACGCCTTATGGAAACAGTGGTGTGCATGTGGAGGGATGAGATCTGTCCTGTCTTCGGCTTAAGCTGTGTGTGGAACTAGTTTCATGCCCCTGCAGGGGTCTGTCATGTTTTATTTGGGCATCTCAGCCTGCAGTTTATCAGTCTGCTGTGGACTTGTCCCATGAAAACTCTTGGTTTTTCGGTCCTCGTAACCCCAAGGTAGTGGTGTCGTGTCACATCAGCCTGGGGAGGAGCAGAGTAACCATCTGGGCCCCAAAGATGTATTTGGGAGGTGAAGGGTGGCTAGGAGAAGCAAATACATTCTTTTAGAAAGAAAGGATTTCCAAGACGGTGGTTCTCTCTCTTCAGTTTGGTCCACAGACCTCCACTTCTAGGACGCATGTGAATCAACAGTGAAATCGGAGAGCTTGAAGCAAATAGGTCACGCTTGTCCCAGACTCTGGCTCCACGCCAGCTGGACAGCACGGTGATCTGCCTGAATGGTACCCTCACACGTGCCGGAGCCTTGTTTTCTGTCAAGTTAATCTGTAGCAATACATAGTGAGCACCAAACTCTTGATACAGGGCTGGATGGTGTGGAATAAACCACGACTGGACAGGTTGGTTAGTTGTTTTTCAACCTTGAAGAGTATTTCCAGG